TCACTGTATAGACCAGGAGTGGGGTGTCACTGTACAGACCAGGAGTGGGGTGTCACTGTATAGACCAGGAGTGGGGTGTCACTATGCAGACCAGGAGTGGGGTGTTGCTGTAAAAAAGCTGACCATGTTAGCTTTCGGAAGAATAAAAGAGACTGGAAAAATGCCAGGTGGTGGTGGCACATGTCTTTAATCCCAGCACCCAAGAGGCAGAGGCAGGTGGATCTCTGAGTTTGAGGCCAGTCTGGTCTACAGAGTGAATTCCAGGACAGCCAGAGCTACACAGAAAAGCCCTCTCAAACACACACACACACACACACACACACACACACACACACAGAGAGACAGACAGACAGACAGACAGACAGACTTTGAAACTGAACTGGAAGAGTAGTTGGGCACTGTAAGTAGAGATTAAAGGGAAATTCTAGTAGGATCTCAGAAGATTGGTAGTGCTGAGGGCCATGTGGACTAAGGATGCCCAACTCAAGAGGTTTTGGGGGTGGAGAGAATTAGCAGCTGAATTAGAGGCCATTCATGGGATAATTTGGCAAATAACCTGACTGCCTTCTGCCCATGACCTGAGAACCTGCCTGTAGCTAAGTTTAAAAATTATTACAAACTTAATATTGCATCCCAGTTCTGTGCTGGACACAGGCTGTCGCCGTGAAGATGACCGACTTTAATGATCTGACTGGAACTAACAGAAGAGTTCTCCCAGGCCATGCTCCACACAGCACATCTAATTTGTAAAGGGAACGACCTAAAGCATTTTCTATTCCTAGAAAGAAACTGGGAAAGAAAAAGAAAAGAGAGAAGTTCTAGGATAGCCAAAGCTACACAGAGAAGCCCTGTCTTGAAAAACCAAAAGTAAAATAAAGCCACTAAAGCTACTACTGAGACCTCAACCTCACTTCATGGGACCCCAGTTGCCTTCCAAAGTTGTACCTGGAGATCTCATTAACATATAATTTGGGGATCAAGTCTGCAGAACGCAGACTTTTGAGGGGTACATTCAAGCCTTAATCTGGTGTAAGGTGTTGACAGAGATGAGGCAGGTAGGGAAATCGCTTGCCAATAATTATAAGAACACTTGGGATGTTCTCTGTGAACTTTAGGAGTGCGAGCTAATTCAACTGCAGCAACAACCCCAGGAGGCTTTCCGGTTTTGTTCATGGCTTTGTTGTTCTTTGAGGCGAACCTCAAACTCAGAGAATGACCTTAGGTGTCTGACCCTGCTGCCTCCACCTGCAGAGTGCGGAATTACAGGCATGCGCCACCATGTCTGGTTCATATGGTGAGGGAGATTGAACACACGGCCTTGCGCATGCTAGGCAAGGACTCTTATATGTAATATAAGCAAGAACTACATATATTAAGTCCTGTCATGGGCCCGTTTCCCAGACTGGGTAAACATTGGTGAGCAGTGTTCGGTTGGCATCCCTGTTCCCGCTTGCCCAAGCTGGGAAACTCTGTCTGCCCTGCTTCCCCCAACCCTGGCAGAGCTCTGAGAAAACTCTGAACAAGGGAGTGGCAACCAAGTGCCTGCCCAGGGACCTAGCTTTGACCATACTTGCGCACAGTCTCACCTCCTGACTGCCACATTATCATCCATGGCCTAAGGTTCATAAAATCTCCTGCCTTAGCCTGGGTTCTTGACTTCTCTGGCCCCTTCTCTGGGACCCATGGATTTGCAGGAGAGCTATGCCCAATAAACTTGCATTTATGTGTTTCTAATCTGGTCTGATCTGGCCTTTTGCATGGGCAGAAACAGCATGCAGTGCTTCTCGTTGGAAGTGGCAGGAGGTACTCATTGGGGAGTCAGGTTCTCACTGTTGGATGGCTTAGGGTCTGAGCACCCAGTGTGTCTCTGGGACCCTGTGGTTTACTCCTCCCAGTGGCAATGCCACAGCTGGGAACAGCTGCCGCTGCTTGGTGCCCAGCAGAACTCGGCTAAAACTGGATGGACAAATCTGGCACACCGGAAGCTGCTCCAGCAAACAACACGACATCGAGAATCCTTCTTGGGTCCTCTTCCTCCTCCCTTCTTTAAATGCCCTAGTGGCTGCCATTTCTTATGTAGCTAAAAAAAGCTCTAGGCGGCAGAGCGCAGGATTAAGGGACTATTAGGTTCTTTGTTTCCCATCCTCAGTGGAGACAAAACCTGAAGGGTTGCTAAAGAATTTCTTGGAAACCACAGTGTCTTCAGGCCTTCTTCAGCTACTGTTGGGTGAAGCTCCCAGGAAGTACCTTCAGGAGGAAGTGGCCTAAGTTGCTGACCTGTGAGCCGGTGGGCATGGCCTTGGCAGGGAGCTGCGGCCTAGGCAACCCATCTCTTGGTAGCTGTTGCAGGTCCCAGAGGTGAGCATGTCATGGTGATTCTGACCCCCAGGTCAGGTGACCACCCCAGCCTGTGCCCTGGGGCGGTCTTCCTCCTGGTTTATTAGGAAGCACACTCTGCTCTGGGAGCTGCTGGGTCTGTGCTAGAACCCAGGTCCAGTTTTTGGCCCTCTCCAGGACCCTGGTCATCTGTTGCTCTGACTCCTCGGCCTGTATCATGGTTCTAAAGACCAAACTGTCCAACGTTCCAACACTTCTCATCCTGCGCCCCATTTCTTTGCTTCCCTTTAGACACAAATCCCTCTATACCCCGTCTCTATTTCTTCCTTCTCAGGCTGGCTTCTGTCCATCCCCCTTGTGGTGGATAGGTTTAAAAGTCAATTTGACACAGTCTAGAATCACCTGGAAACAGTCTCAACGAGGGGTTGTCTAGATCAGTTGACCTGTGGGGTGTTTGAGGTCTTAATGGCCTTAGCTGATATAGGAAAGCCCAACCCACTGTGTGTGATGTCATTCCCTGGTTTGGGGTTCTGGACTGGATAGCAGAGGAGAAAGTGAGAGCTGAGCAGTGGGCGTGCATTCAACTTCCCCTCCTTGACTGTGGACTCGACCAGTGCTTCACGCCCTGCTTGCTGTGACCTCACTGATGTGATGATCGGAACCTGGAACCCTGGGCTAAAATAAGCCCTTCGTCCCTCAAGTCGCTTCCGCAGGAGGGTTTTCATGCAGAAACGGGAAGGGAAATAGAACAGACTCAAGGAGCCTCCATTATTTTTTATTTTCCTTAATTAAAAAAAAGTGTGTGTGTGCATGTGTGCATGTGTCGTGTCTGTGTGTATTATGTGTGCATGTCTGTGTTTGTGTGTGTGTGTCTGTGTGTAACTCTGTGTATGTGTGTGTACATGGGTATGTGACTATGTATATGTATGCTGTGTGTGCATGTGTGCGTGTCTGTGCATTTGTGTGTGCATGTGTGTGTATTGTGTGTGCATGTGTGTATGTATGCCGTGTGTGTGTGCGTGTCGGTGTGTGTATGCTGTGCATGCATTTGTGCATGTCTGTGTGTGCATGTGTGTATATGAGTGTGCATGTATGTGTGTGTCTGTGTGTGTGTACAACTGTGGAGGTCAAAGGACAGTTTTTTTGGTTTTTGTTCTTTTCAGACAGGGTTTCTCTGTGACTTTGGAGCCTGTCCACCTCACAGATCCGTTGCCTGTATGGCATTACTGTGATTGGTCTCTTGGGTGAACCATGTTTAGTACATCCAAAAAGAAACCCACTGTCTCCTCCGGCCTCCACTCACTCCCAGTGTTCCTCAGGGTTTCTGTCCCCACTCTTCTGTCAGATGCCCAAGCTGCCTCCTCCTTGCCCCCTCCCCCACCACAGCCAGCATGCCAGTGGGTAGTTCTGAGTCCCAGGGTGCCTCACATCTATCTTCTTCCTCGCTTTGTACCCTGGGCCAGGCCATCTTCCCATCCCACAGAGAGCCTGTGACTATCTCCCCGACACCCACCAGAACTGGCTTTCACAGTAAAGCCGCAGAAATCTTGCTAGAATGGTCAGGTGTGTCCCTTGTTCAAACCCATTTCACACTACTGAGGAAGACTTACTCCTCAGCCCGGTTTACACAGCCTCCTTTCTGCCCTCTGGGCCTCTCCGGACTCCAGGCTCACACTCTACAACTCAGTCCTGCTCAG